GGCATTTAGGGCTCTTGTACATAGGGTTGCTATGAGTCGCAAACGACTCAATGGCACATAACAACAACAAAAACAACAACGAATTAATTTTCATGAAAGTTTACAGAGACTTATGGTTTCCAGTTATTCATTGTTGCACTTTTCTCCCTGCCTACCCTCTTCCCCCCGCCCATTCACTCTTCTCCTTGAAAAGTAAAATTTTCATTGTTATGCAATCCCTCCCTCCAAGTTTACACCACTGTGCAACCTTCGTTCTGGACTCCTGTCATGACAATAATAGCCAAACATATATCCCCAGTTCTCTCCCTCATCTGTTTCAATGCAGTATACATCATTCCTCCTCTCCTTCTTTGTCTTCCCTCAATCCCTGTCAGTCCTGTTTTACAACAGTGGCCCTATGCAATATTTTTCCTCTTGTGACTGAGCTATTTTGCTCAGCATACTGTCCTCTAGGGTCACCCACTTTGCATAATATTTATAAGTTCTTTGTTTTTCAATGGTGCATAGTATTCCCTTGTGTTGATATACCAGAGCACCTTTACACATTGTTTGCTGATGGGGACTTGGATTGTTTCCAGCTCTTTGCTATTGCGAACAAAGCTGCAATAAACACGGGTGTGCATATATCCTTCCTGTTATTTTTAACATCAGAAACTCACTGGAGTGTCAGCTATGAGTCTGTTTTGACACGATGGCCATAAGGATCAGGGTTGCAATTCTTCAGGATGCTTTGGGCAGAATATTAAATGACGCAGGAAGCATTAAAAGAAGATGGAAAGAGTATACCGAGTCATTGTACCAAAAGGGATTGGTGGACACAGAAGAATTTTATGAAGCAACATATGAGCAAGAGCCTGTGGTGATGAAGGAGGAAGTTCAAGCTGCTCTGAAAGAATTGGCAAAAAACAAAGCCCCAGTAATTGATGGCATACCAATTGACATATTTCAACAAACAGACGCTGCCCTGTATGTGCTAAGTTATGTCAAGATATCTGGAAGACAACCACTTGGCCAACTGACTGGAAGAGGTCTATATTTGTTCCCGTCCCCAGAAAAGTTGATCCAAATGAGTGTGGAAATTATCGAACAATATCACTGATATCACATGCAAGCAAGATTCTGCTGAAGATCATCCAAAAACGACTGAAACAGCACATTAACGGAGAACTGCCAGAAGTGTAGTCTGAAT